GATGACACGTGTCAAATGATGTGGCACGTTAATTAAGTCAAGTAAGAAAGTCAATAGAATTTTTCCCAGTGTCAAAATGACAAAATATGCCTAGTCAAATTGAAAATCAATAAAAAAAATCATGTGCACAAATGACATGATCAATCGAATGTCACCAAGTCAACTTCGTCGAAAATAATATCTTCACCACAACTATAAATAGAGAATCCATAATTCATAAAAAGGAGACCAGAATTCTAATAAGAAGTCAGAAAGAGCTCGTGGATCAAACAACGTAGATTTTTCTACAAGCTACATCTATAAGTTTAAGCATTGAAGCAACCAAGTTCAAATACAAATTTAGATCAAGCTCAACGGTCCTTAAATTTAAGTACAAATCAAGATCAAGTTCTTTAAGATTCAAGATCAAACGCAAAAACCCTTAAATTCATGTTCATCCAAATTTAGCTCAACCGTTTGGATTCAAACACAGTTCTAGATCAACTTCATCAAAACAAAGATTTAAGACCAAACTTTAAAACCTAGAATTCAAGGACAAGTAAAACCAAATTCAAGCTCAATCTCAAAGGGATTAGAATTTACTTTCTTTTTTTAAATTAAAAAAACTAGAGAATTTAGCGAGAGTGTAACATTCACTAGATTTGAGATAAACACTGTAATTATTGCGATCTTTTTAGGCCTTGATTATTATCTTCTTGACACGATATTTATTGTCTACAAATGTAATATCATTAATATCTGTGGGAGTGTTTGAAACACACATGTTGACTTATTGGAATAAGTTGATGCACTTACCTTTAATTTTTTGACCTTATGAAAATTACATATCTTTTTTAGTCTCCGTCCAACTTGGTGAAAGATTTTAGAGAATCATATTTTCAACTTTTAGTCATTTATTTGTACTTTAAGATATGTGAATACCATGAGTATGTCTGGAATAAGAGATAAGAAAAAAGAAAAAAGTAAATCATAATTTTACGAAAATAGCATTTATTTTAGTCATCTGACTTATTCTTAATGAATTTTCACTGTATTGCCAGTACAAGCATTCTTAAATAGCCCTGAAAAATGATTATTCAAATACATTTGATTTTTGCATATAAATATGATCTATATCAATGAATTATTCAACGTAGTTTTTCAAGTTCTTTACCTCTCTGCATATAAATGTGCTTTACGAACAAAATAATTTAAATATTATAATTCTTTGTTGCATATGAATGTGGTTTATCATAGTGAATCATTTAACATGAATTTTTAAATTCTTTACTTCCTTGCATGTGAATGTGATTTATGAATCGACTAATTTAGAGTCTGATTGACATTACTACTGAAACTACTTATTTTTAGAAGTACTTTTTAAAAATAGTTTTTTAGAAAAGTGCTTTTGAAAAAAAGCAATTTGTGTTTGGTAAATTTATTTGAAAAATACTTTTGATAAACAGATTGTGTTTGACTAATTTTTTAAAAAAAAAGTACTTTTGAGAGTCAAATTATGAAAAATGACAAGTATCAAATGCACTTTTAATATTAAGATTAATTTAAATATCTATTAAATTTTTTGGAGAAGGGCCTAAAATGCCCCTCAAGTATTTGAATTGGTACAAAATTACCCTCCGTCCACCTATCAGCCCTAAAATACCCCTGACGTCTACCTTTCGGCTAAAAAATACCCTTATGCCTAACGGATCATACTCATTAGGTGGATGGAGGGTAATATTGTGTCAAATCTCATAGTTTAAGGGCTTTTAGGCCCTTTCCGTTAAAATAATTTGAAATTGCTTAATATATAAGCTCACATGATTGACTTGATTTTGAATTTCATAGTAAACTTAAAATTATAAAAAGGTTAGACATCTACTCTCTACACTCCTCCCTCTCCGGCCCTTCACTTCCTATCTCTTTCAAAAAAAAATCTATTTGGATCTTGTCCACCATTTTTTTTTAAATTTATGACAAACAAGAGAGAAAAAAAGGAGGAAAATAACGATGCATTCATATAGAAATAATTAGTTCAATAAAATAATTATTTTTCTTTTGTGTGTACCCAAAATTAAGAATAAAAGAATAAAAATAATCATTTCTCTTATCCCCCACCCTCATCCCATCATGACAATAATACTAATTAAAAGAATATAAATATGTGAGTTCATTTCAAGTTTGAGTCCCGGATATCCTAATTACGAATAAGAGATTAAAAAAAGGAATAAAAGAGAAAATAAACAAGACATTTGGATAATTGAGAGAAAATTTTATATTAATGAAAATAATAATTTTTTTAGATGGACAATCAGTCGGGGTAAGTATGGATTTTAGTTGGATCCCCATTTATGAGTTGAGTTACATTATAATAAATTGGGGTTGATTTTAAATAGGCCAATAGGAAGATATCATGAAATTAATTATGTTTTCAATATTATTTTCAAGTGTATGAGGTCAAAATATGAATCATAAGTGGTTTGGTAGAAAAAATGATTTTTTTAAAATGTCATTTTTATTATATATTTGAGAAGGGTTTAAATTTGGACCAATCACATTAAGCAATATAATAAATAAATATTTAATATTTTTACTTTAAGGGAGCTATTAAAAATAAGGGCAAATATGAGTCAAAGGATTAACAACGAGGGTATTTTTTAGCCGAAAGGTGGACGTCAGGGTATTTTAGGGCCGAAAGGTGGACGTCAGGGGTATTTTAGGGCCGATGGATGGATGAAGGGTAATTTTGTACCAACTCAAATACTTAAGGGGCATTTTAGACCCTTCTTCGTAAAATTTTAATTAAATTTTTGTTTTTATTAAATTAAAATGTACATATTCAAATTTTCAATCAATATTATACATAGATGAGTAAAAGAATAAATTAAATATGATATAATATTAACATGATGATTTAACTATAATTAAAAATATCAAGAAAAATAAATTTAAAAATCATTTCAAAAATTAAATTAGTACATATGAAAATCTCATCACAAAAATAAATAAATATAGGAGATATATTGGTGAATATGTATATATGGCAGAAATATTTTGGTCTTGCAATAAATAATTTTCTGCTTTTGCTTCTACTTGTGCTTTTTTAAGAAGCAGAAATTTGTAACTTCTTCCCAACAACATAAAAATTGCTCCTGCTTATGCTTAAAATCGGTTTTATTGATTAGCCAAACATCTTGTTTTTTTCTAAAATAAGTATTCTTTAATCGAATAAAGTGCTTTTAGTCTTTCAACAAAAATATCAAACAAACTATTAATTTCTATAAAAAAAAGCTCTTGAGATTAACTAAGAAAATTAATGTATTGACTTTTGAAAGAATTGATTATTGTAAAGGTAAAATGTTTAATTAATTTTTGAAGGACTTTTTAGTCTTTCAACTTTCTACTTTCATTTTTGCTATTCTAATATAGTACTCCCTCCGTCTAATAATAATTGTCAATTTTGACAAATCAAGAAAGGACAAAAAATAATTTTCTATTATACCCTCAATTTATTACTTTAAAAGTGTAGAACTTCTTGAAAATCTTAAGGTTTTAATTCATCAACTTCATAATTAATAGGGGTAAAATGGTAAACTCACTATATCAATTATTGTTTTCTTAATAAGTGTGACAATTCAAAAGTGGACAAGTAATTAGGAACAGAGGGAGTACTATTTTGGGATGTTCAACAACAGTTGTCTACTTTATGAAATCAATGGATAATTTTACACTTAATTCCTAATTTACCCTTGTCATTAATTGTAGTAATTTCCTTATTACATTTTTCAAGAAATTGTATTTATTATATTCAAAGGGTGATATAGTAAAATTACCCTTTTATTTATAATTTCTTAAGAAGCATGTAAAATCAATAGTGGACAAGTATTGTTGGACATAAGCATTATATGTTTTGGGATTATCAAAAAAATAAAATAAAAAATATTTTAGATTAATATTGAAATGAATTTTGCTTCTCTCTCGGGCTCTTTTTATACCGACTCCGTTGGTACGCCGTATGAGTAAGAAAGAGAGAAAAAATGTACTGTCATCTATCTTGATCTGTTCTTCGAGATGTTAGAAATCTAGATCGATTCAGGTAATCACTCTCACTATTTAGCCTTTCGTTCCGCCAATAAATAAGTCATCCTTGACGAGTTTTTAATTCCTTTTCTGTTGAACCGCCTCTCTTCGCCATTTAATACTTCCGCCTACCTTTTTTATTTACCTTGTTAATGTATCAAAACACTATTCATCATTTAAAATTCTTAAGATTTAATTTGAATAAATTTTCAATTCTATGAATTAACTAAATAAGTGATATCTTTTGTAATCTCATTCATTGTCTTTATCACTTAGCTAGCAAGGATCAACATGATATTCGATTTCATAGAATTCAATTCCCCTTCTTCAGATTTATCTACTGAACACAACTCTTACTCGAATCGGCGGTGCTGATTTTGACAGCTTGCTAAATTTCATCCAGCAACAATCATCATCTAATCAACATCTCCAATTTTTCTGCTTTGATATAAGTTGAAATTCTCAAAATAAAATGTAAAGTACAGGTAAAATATTATATATTGCCTCTTCTTCTAAAGTCACACGGTTCATTTATTCGATGCTTTGTAAGAAGATAAATTCAATTATATCCATTTAAATATCTTACATTAATTATTAATCGTATTCTAACGAGTTTTAAGTTTTATTCTCCATTTCATATGATTGTTGAACAATTTAATATATCTATTTTCTTACTTTTTAAACGTGAACTTAACATGTTTATTGCTCCTTCATTTTATTTTTATCTCAGAGATATATGTGTAAGAATGAACACGAACACGAACACGTAAAGAAAAAGTAGTACTACTAAGATCTGGACAATAACCTTTGTTTTGATCAATGAAGACGCAAGTAGCCCAAAGATCCAAGCTAATAACATGTCAATAGTTGCAATAGGAGCTTCCCATTATACCCTCTCTTCTTTCAGCTATTATCCTTTTGCCTCTCCCTTTCGATATACGTACAATACCATTACTACGGTCGTTTCTCTCTCTCTCTCTCTATATCATCCACCGCCACACACAAACCCACTTTTTCTCCCTAAATGCAAAATTCTAATGTAGAGAGCAGCAACTCCGTCGATTCCGATGCCCCGCTCTCCGTCAACAGCCCATTCCCCGCCGGCGAAGTCGACGTATCTTTCATCTGAGTTCTAGGGTTTTTCATTCGGTACATCAATTGGGAACACTCTTTTCAATCGAATTCTGAAGACAAAGAAAGCATAGTTATAGAAACTTAATATCCTGAAGTATAGATAAGGTGCTCTATTTCCGGCTTTGTTTGTGATCGGAGGTAAACATACGCAAAGGAGACCCTTGTGCGGGAGAGTAGTATATCTAGGGTTTTGATAGAATCAAGGAATGGCTCCAGGTCGTAAACGTGGAGCTAAAGGAGTGAAGTCGATGAGCGAGTTGAGTCTGGGTGATCTGGTCCTTGCTAAGGTTAAAGGCTTCCCTGCTTGGCCTGCTAAGGTAAATAAAAATTCAATGCTGATCAGTTTGTCATCTCAACGTACTTTGTTATTTGTAGACCTTTTTTGCTGTAATCACAACAAAGTTCATGAACGAGTGTTCAGTTAAATGTAGTGAAGGATGTTGCTTTAATCTGAATGTTTTTAACCCTGTAAGCCCTTAATCTTTCGTTTGTCACTTGTTTTTTGTTTCTTGAGCTTAATGATAATCTCGTCAAATGGCTCTTGAACTGTGTGGAGTGAATTTTGTTGTGAAAAAAGTATCAAGTTTCTTTTAGTTGATATGTCTCGAGGGTTGAATGATTGTTGCGATATATATGACTCAGCTTTTGAGATTTTATTCCGATTTCTCTTGGAAATCAGGTGTGGTTGACTTATGAATTAGGTTTCACTCTTTCTTTGTTGCAGAGAAGACAGTAAAACTGGATATGAGTTCATATATTATGGAGATATATTGGTTTCTCTAAATAATGGATCTTGTTGGCTGTCTATTATGTTTCAGTTTATGAAGGTTTGGATGAGATCTATTTGAAACGATGAGGACGAATCAGTAGTGTATGTCTGTCTTAAATTTTGCCAAGTTTAGGACCTCTTATCATGGTTATTAAATACCCGTGAATGCTTGTCGCTTTCCCCTTTGTTCATGTTGATGTCATTTCATACGTTTCTACTGCGCCTATCCGCTATCGTTCCTGAGATTTTGTTTCTACTATGAATTTTGTTAGAAAAACTCTGTCATGAACTTGCATATCTATCCCTCTTTTTTCCACGATATGTTGACTGTTAGTTTATTGGTTCCAGACCTTCTAAATGCAGCGTTTGTTTATTTATTGTGCTCATGTTACTCGTTGCTTTTTGTTCCTCCCTCAGTAAGATCTTGGGGTTGTCCTTTTTGGTAGTACAGGACATTCGGAGATTGTTTTGTCAGTTCTGGTGCTGTTGTCTCGGTGCTCGTCATCTTGTCACTCGTCGCTTTATATTGTGGTTTTATTTATGTAATCTTCAATTTTTCCAGATTAGCAAACCAGAAGATTGGGCTCGAGCTCCTGATCCCAAAAAGTATTTTGTCCAGTTCTTTGGTACACAGGAAATGTAAGTGCTTCCTGCATCTGTTTTCCCATGCTTGTTCATGGAGATAAATAGTGTGTTGTAGGATTTTATTTTTGCTTTCACACTATAAGTTCCTTTGTGATTGACTTCATTGAAAGATGGAAAAAAGGCATGCTTTGCTACCATCTTCAGGTATATAATGGTCTGCCAACATTTTTTTTGAACTCTGAAGCATCATTCCTTTTTCTCCATTAATAAAATAAGAATGATGCTTTGTAAATTATGCGGTCTAATTCAAAATAAAAAACTGGGACATCTTTCATGCTACTGCAGATCAAGTTACTTTTGCTACCATTTTTTTAAGTTGACCTTCAAATATCACACTCGTTGAGGTATATGAAAGATGGGGCGTGGTTGAATGCTTATTCAACATGTGCATACATTGTTAGAGAGGTTTTGTGTTTGTTACCTTTGAAAATGCCATAGATTCTTCTCCTAGCAGAACTAGTGAAGTTTATTTTTGTCTTAGGGTTGCTTAGTCATTACTTCTGGATTATGATAATTCATATCATCTTTTTTTCTCTTTCAGTAATCTGATTACATGTTTTTTTCTCCATATTTGGTAGTAGATCTGGCTGATGCTGATTTAATTTTTGATTATCCTGGGTGCTTTATGATCTTTCCATTTATTGCATTCATTTTTAGTAACGTATTCAAGTAGCCTAAAGCAAAGTCAAATTGTGGTATTGCTGTAATATTTAAGTCTAGTTGTATCCTTTTTTGGACAGGCAACATCCCTGATTAGTAAGTTTGGATATGATGATTTTGTGTTCATATACTTATTTAAGGAATTGTTATGTGAATTTGGCAACAAATATGAAGAAGACTACAATTTGAATATCCTTGTCTGGAAAACCATATATTCTGCCTGAGTCATTCCTTTTCTGAAATTTGTTCATCATTGAAACATGTTTCCTTCCCCTTTTTTTACCCTGTCAACAGAGCATTTGTCGCCCCAGCAGATATTACGGCATTTACCATCGATGTTAAAAATAAAGTGTCAGCTCGATGTCAGGGCAAAACAGTAAAACATTTTGCCCAAGCAGTGAGGCAAATCTGTGAAGAATTTGAAGGGTTACAGCAGAAAGATTCCAGTGTTTCAGGAGATGAGGCTTATAAAACAGCTCCAGGCTGTGGAATAGCTTCTGTTGAAAGGGTGTCTGCTGCTACCGAGTTGGACCAAATGGACGGGGATAAGAAGTCTAAGCAAGAAACAGATATCAAAAGCTTTGTAGAGGGATCTGGGCTAGAGCGCTGCTCGATGATTAAAGATGACACTGCTGATATAGTTTCACATGATTCAGAGGGTAATTTGCCTCCATCAATTTCATCTTTAAAGGTGGGGTCGATTCACAGTGGGATTTCTAATTCAGGAAAGGAGTTGGCTTCATTGCCTAATCCAGAAAGCACAAGTGAGGACAACAGAGATCCCGAGGAGCGTGATAAGCAATTGATCCACAAGGAGAACTTGAGAACTGCTGAGAGGAGTCATTTTCCTGATGCAGATTTTCCTCCTCCTACATCATCTAATGACGTGAAGCAGCTTGATGGTGGTCGGAAGCAGCTGACAAATGGACACAAAGCAAAGCTGGCGAAGAAGAAAGCTGGGGGTGGACATGAAATGCAAAGAATTAGTGATACTACCAGTGATCCAACTGTTAAAAAAGCAAGTGCCAAAAAATTAGTGCCAGAGGTTAAGTCAGGTACCGATGGTAGGAAAAAGATAAAAAGAGAGGACGATAGAAAACCTGAGACGGTGGATGCTGCTCTCGGCCATATTGAGGAGAACAAATTTCAGTTGTCTAGCAAGAAATTGAAAGTTGAACCTGGACAGATGTTGCGACGCAATGAAATAGCAGATCCTTCTAAGAAGATCAAATGTGCTGATGGGGCAATGGATGCTGTTATGGCGAGCAAAATTTATGATGAGGCTAAAGTGGTGAAATCAGAGGTTAAAAAATCAATACCACTGGGAAAAGCCGAGGATCACACTTCGCTGAAATTGCATGAAGGTGCTATTGGTTCAAATAATTGCGGTGAAGAAGATATTCTCCCACCATCAAAGCGCCATCGACGGGCAATGGAGGCTATGTCTAGCTCCTCTCCTGTTCCTCAACTTCCTACTAAGCGGAGAGCTGTCCGTTTGTGTGTGGATAATGAAAATGAAGAGCCCAAAACTCCAATTCATGGAGGATCTATTAAGAGGGATGCTATTTCTCGCGTCCCCAATTCGGTGAAGAAGCCTGACCTATCTATTGGAACAGCTAGTAATGACCAACCGAGTGTGAAAGACTCGGGCACGGTTGATGATAGCTCTATCAAGGAGCATGCACCATCTGTCAGACTACACAAAGAACTCTCTGGGCGTGTTTCTCAGAAAAATGTGGAGAAGAAGCGTATACCTACTGATACAAGTGTTTCATGTAGTCCTGGGAAATTTGGAACTCCAAAAACAACTTCTAGGGAAGGTCAAACTGATACTATATCGCCCAAAAAGTCCCCTGGGTTCACTGTCAAACCAGTCTCAGAGCCACAAAAAGGTGCTAAACTACCTGGTAAACCTCAGGGTGATCATAAAAAATGGGTAGCTGAATCTGATACTGGCAATATTATTGCTGCTGATAACTTAAATCCTCCTCGTGATCAACCTATTAATGAAAGAAGTAAGATAGTTTCTACCAATGAAAGGAAAAAAACAACCCCAAAGTCTAGTTCCTCGATGACTGAACCCACTCATGTGCCTGGTAATCCTGTTGAAAGCATGTCTACACGGTTTGAAAGGTACATTTGATATTTGATTTTTCTTTGATACCTCTTATTGCCAGTTCCTTCTGATGTGATGTTCCATTTTTGTTGGCAAAAGCAGGCTTGAAGCTTTGAGAGATGAGAAGCTTAATGCTTTGATAGATTCCAAAGTTCTAGACCAGGATATGTCCATGAAGCATCTTATAGCAGCTGCCCAGGCTAAAAGGCGGCAAGCTCACTTGCAGAGCATTCATGGTAATACCCTTGCTGCTGTGGCCCCCTATGCTGAACCACAGGGAGGGAGCCCCCATCCAGCGCTTGGTTCTCAACCATTAAGCTCTGGCATGCTGCATCCTGAAACACAAGTTCTATTTTCTCGCTCATCTCCTTCGTCTGAGATTCGGCAGTTTTCATCGATAAATCCACCTGAGCCTGAAGAAAATGAGGAGAAGAGAGTAATTTCAGGCCTGGGGGCCTCTGGGGGCTCACTCAGTGGTGGCACTGAGGCAGCTGTTGCTCGTGATGCTTTTGAAGGAATGATAGAAACATTATCACGGACCAAAGAGAGTATCGGACGTGCAACCCGTCTAGCAATTGATTGTGCAAAGTATGGCATTGCTAATGAGGTAAGCACCACTTTTCTCCCTTCCGCTACTGATATAATAACATGTTTTTCTACAGTTTTTAAGGTTTCCGTGTTTATTTGTTTTCGGCATTGATATCCACTAGGAAAATATCAACTCAGTTGGTCCTTGGTATTATGAAAAATTGGGTGACGAACTTGTTGAATAATAGTGTTTCATTTAAATAAAGCACCAAGAAGATGTGTAATTACAAAGCAGAAGAACAAAAGTATTTGGTAGTCCCCTTACATTTTGTCAATCTATCACTAGGGAGCTTACAGATTCCAAAAATTGGTCAGTACTAATTGCAGGGGTTAACTTAATCCAGCAGAACAGGCATTTAGATGCGTGGGTTGGAGTTGATATTCCATCAAAACATCGTCAGTTCCTTTCATTCCATAAACACCAAAAAAAAAGTAACTGCAGGGTTCATCAACCAGATATTCTTGATGACCTAATCAACTTTCCAAAGGCTTCCAGCTTGTGTATGTCTCTCTCATGTGCTGTAATATGACCCAGTTCAAACCAAAAAGACAGTAGAATTTTTTTAGATAGAATAATTCCAACTTTGTCAACTGCTAATGAAAGAATGAACGCCATCCGGGTATATACCAATACCTATTACGGGTTAGAAGATGGAGATAGTAAGTAGTAAGTCTTGCGGTAAATAAATAATTCCAGGTAATGCCCCACAATTTTTTTTTTTTGGGAGAGTTATTTCCTTCGTTCTCCATCTTTTTACCCGTAACAGGTATTGGTATATACCCGGATTTCATTCTTTCATTACCAACAAGGACAAACTTGTAGATGCCTAAATAATGCAACAGCTTTTATCATGACAAAAAGTTTCGTACATGTAATTTCTAAATGTCATTATGGACTACTCATAAAAAGTTCTGTGATATTGCTTATTAAAATTCTCGTTGCATGAGAAAGTATCAACCTGGTCTATCAATATTTCTTTATGCAAAGCATTTATCTGTCTGTTCTTCAACTCTTTGCGTGACATTGTGCTGATAAAAGAATCGAGAGTGCTCATGGGGTCATGATATATGATATGTAAGTTGATTCATGATATGTTTGTGTTCAACTTTTTCCATCTGTTTGCCTTCCCCTTTTTAGTTCTTTTTATTTGATGGAGTTAATGGGTGCACAGGTGGTGTGTCAAGACATGGTTGGTGTCATTGATTGAGCATTTGCTTCTGTGTGAGTGTTTAGAAGTTCTGTTTTGACATTTCTCATTAATAGGTGTGTCTGCTAAGCCCAGACAATGTGTATAGTATTGACGGAAAACATGAGAGTGTATGACATTTAAATGAAAGTTTTAGGAGTAAAAATAAATTCCCTAGCAATTCATCTAATGAAATGAGGTGTCAGTTGGTAATTGAGGTAAAAGTGCTGGCGTGAGGGTTAAGTGACCAAAATAGGTGAGGTGCTTAGTGGGAGTCTGATGACCTTATGAAGGTGTAAGAGCTTATGGTCATTTTCGCATTGTCGTTGATTCATGTGGGATGCGTGTCTTCTATTAATTATTTCCTTGGACATTCTGGGCGGGTTTTTTATCTAAAAAAAAACAAACATGTTGGGGTGTGTTTTTGTTATTAGATATCATTCTTGTATAACTGGGAATAATTTTTCAAAATGGCTTTTTAGAGCTTGGCTTCATCCCCGAAAATCTTCTTTCTAACCAAAGTTTTAAGAGTTAGATTATGGATAGTGTCATGAACCAGGAGAAACAATGCTGTTGTGATTTCCTTTCAAACCTAATAAACTATGGCTTAACTAAGACTTAACAGCAAGAATAACTGAGTTAGAGGCTGGCTTCAGAGGTAAGACAAACTTTCTTTACTTGAAAATTTTAGTTTGTTTTATTTATCATAGAAATTTATGTAATATCGATCTGAATGATTAAAATAACTTACCAGTTAAAGTAAAGGACTTCTCTGCATTGGCTAAAATGGTTAATGATTGTGGTGATATCTTGTACCTGGTCTTTGTCAAAGCTAAAAGATAAATGAAGGGTAGGGCTGAGCAGCAAGAAAACGACTAGTGCAACTGCTTTTGACTTGCCTGCTCAGAGACTTTTCTAGAATCTAACTTGCTATACTTCTCATATTTTAGGCCTTCTTGGAAAGCTAACAAGATTTAGTTGGCAGAGCCATTCTTTTCTTCTATATATTCAAGTCAGTTTAGTCTAGACAAATGTTTTATCCGAAGTTCTTTTTTAAATAGGTTGAATTACTTACCTGAGTTTTGAATCTTGCATATTAAGTTAAATGTTGGTGTGTGAAATGTTTGCTGTTGAATGAGAAGGTAGGACTTAAGATTTTAACCTAACTTATAATCATCATAGATAACTCTCTGCATATAGCAACTTTTGTGATGAGTACATTTATTGTCACCTCCTGTAGTCTCTTCTTGAGCATTCGGGCCCTCTTTAATGCAGGTCGTTGAACTTCTTACCCGGAAGTTGGAAAATGAACCTAGCTTTCATCGCAGGGTGGACCTGTTTTTTTTGGTGGATTCTATAACTCAGTGCTCTCATAGTCATAAAGGTAAAGATTCTTGTGAAAGCACACTACATTTATGATTCTTAATTTTGTTTTCATCTCCTCTTTACTTTCTTGTTGATTTCTTCTGTACCTACCTCCCTTCACTAAGTGACATCTCTGAGTCCATTTCTACGTATAGTTTAGCGGGAGTGCACAGGTTGACAAGATCTTCCCTGATTTTGGTCTCTTCCAAATCTTTTTCTTGTTTTTTGGGTATTTGCTGTAGTATGAGGTACCGATACTTTACAATTTCCTTCTCCATAAATTCAGTTTGTGTGTCCAGGATGAATTCTGGCTAATTTAGTAGCTACATTACATTTTGCGATTGCACATTGCTTACAATATCACTCCTGCACTGGCAGCTCCTCTCCCATCTTTTCTATCTATCACTAGAAGTAGCGTGGGTGGTGTACCTCACTGAGCTATCGATTCCGAAGCTATTGCCCGGTTCAATCAACACATTGTTCCTCTTTTACCAAAGTGTTTTAACTTATATACACTGACAGGCATAAAAAAATATCTACAGGTTACCTTCCATAAATATGGGTTTTGTAATCATGTGAGGCATATTACCTGCTAGAATAGAAGTCCTATGTTATTCGCAGTTCGGTTTGCAATTTTTTCTGAACTAAGAAGATAGAAAACAAGGATCTAAGCCATCTGCTCAAGTATGGAGGCAGTGGGAGTCCGGTTTGCAGGTAGAAATTTATTACTCCCTTCGTTTCAAAAAGAGTGGCCTAGTTTGACTTGACACGGAGTTTAAGAAAATAAAGAAGACTTTTGAATCGTGTGGTTCTAAATTAAAGTTATGTCAAATGTACAAAATTGCCCTTTAATCTTATGATCTTAAAAATGCCACGTGGAAAACTGATAGTAAAATGTTACCAAAAAAGGAAAGAGGTCATTCTTTTTGAAACAAACTAAAAGCAAAGGAGGTGCCCCCAAGGCCTAGCTCAAGTGGCAAAAGGTGGAGGATTTGTGGCTTAGGTCGCAAGTTCAAGCCCCACACCATGCAAAGCGAAGTCCGATATTTAAGTGGAGAAGGGTAGAGGGGCGGGCCCATTATCCACCGAGTTTAGAAGACTGTGATTGGTCCAAAGGGCGGGTCACAGACGGATTTCTCGGTTATCAAAAAAAATAAAAAAAATAAAAAGGAAAGGAGGTCATTCTTTTTGAAATGGAGGGAGTAATAACATATGGTGATTGATGAAATGGATCTTAATGTATAGCATGAAGAGATTTTCAGATCGTAAGATCATGACTAAATTATTTCACGCTTTGCTCTGAGAACAGGGACTAGGGACTGATTCCATACCGTGCTACTGCCTTATTTTCTCCTTGTATTTTTTCGTGCAAAGCTCTTGATCGGTGGATGCTTTCTGTGTTAAAATTAAATCAACTACCTTTGTGGATCGAGTTTAAAAAGTATTATTTTTTATTTTCTCAATCCTTTTACTTGCTAAAATCTGGTAAAATTGTGACATATGGTACTTGAATTAGATTTGATCTTCTGCCTTGTTACATGTATTTTTGTTCAGGCATTGCAGGAGCATCATATATTCCTGCTGTTCAAGCGGCATTACCTCGTCTTTTGGGAGCTGCTGCTCCACCAGGAGTGGGTGCCCGGGAAAACCGTCGTCAATGTCTCAAGGTGATTGCGCAAACACTAGAACCAGTTGGTCATTTAAAAGCAGTCCTGCATGATGTTGATTGTATCTCCTTTGTAGGTATTGCGATTATGGCTTGAGAGGAAAATATATCCTGATTCTCTTCTTCGCCGTCATATGGATGATATTGGTACGTCGAATGATGATTCGTCTGGTGGTTTGTCCTTTAGACGACCATCTCGAGCTGAGCGTGCTATTGATGATCCTATTAGAGAGATGGAAGGCATGCTTGTTGATGAGTACGGCAGGTTAGCAACTTACTTCCATCCTTGTTCTTGTGAAATACTTTTGTCTATGAATCTTATTAATGTCGCTATGAAACTTTCATTTCGTTTTCATGGGCGTCTGCATTATACTGCCCCTTTGTTTTATTGTTTGTTTAGAAAAAAACAAAGCACTGTAACTTCCTATGCTGTTATCGGTGGTGCTGTAATTCATGATCTGAATTCAGTATAATTCTTTGTGTTGATGCTGGTGTGGACTTTAATGTCGGTATTGGATGTGAATCTACAAATCACTGATGAATTTCAGACAGGGGATGAAGACAATTTCCTACCTCTTTGAAGTGGCCTGTCCCATGTGTAGGACTGTATACTTGTAATTCTCTTCTCCTTGGAATGGTTAGGAACTGGCTCTAAAGCTGAAGACCCATCTTATTAAATGTCAAGTCACAAAGAGATGTGAGCTAGGGGTCACTATCTTTTAGGATTGTAGACACAACTTTGAAGAAGCATGTGCTTTGAAAGTGAGGTGCAAAGTGCATGCTTAGACTTTTGCTTTTCATTTCTTTCTTTAATGCTCAGGAACTTTATCGGCCTTTTGCGTTCACTTGTAGAGGAATTGTCAAAAAGCTTTGAACCCACCTTTTCCCCTTATTTTCCCCATTTTTGAATGATGTGCTCTCCCGGCTAACTCATGTGGATCATATTCTTCAAACCTTTTCTGAACGGGCTTAGTTGAGTGCCGTCCTTGAGAGTACATTTGCAGCAAATATTTGGATATGTTAGAATAGCACTGAACATATGTTGGTAGTTGATAAAATAATTTTAACTATTTGCTCCATGATCCTTCTTTAATTTGTTCGAGCCTTCCAATTTAATTTTTGATTCATGAAATAGGTATATGATTCTTGTTTTTCTTTTTTGATAAAAAGGTATCTGATTCTTGTTTCGGATCCCAATTTGAATGGTAGGAGAATGTTTGAGACAGGAATCAGTGTGCTTATCTGTGTAAGAAGGAATCAGTGTGCATATATTTTCCTCTGTTTTTGGAAGTGTTAAGGGGTTTTCCGAAATCTGAATCCCTGTTTTTCATCGGGGTACAAATCTCAGAGATGTATCTTTTGAACCTTCTCCTTTTTCAAGTGTTTGTTTTTGGATCTGTGCACACCACATGACTGTTGTGCTCTGTTTCCTGTTGGTGCAAATGCTTATCTCAGTGAGTGGCTCATATTATGAAATGTTATTGACTAGATGCAGGAGGAGTAAGACCTTATTGTTGGGTCTTAAACCAATTTAAGAACAGTGTTCAAGATAGTAACCAACTGCGGTTGACGTAGTTTCTTTTGTTCTCTTAGAATTTGTTACTGATTCGTTTTGCCACAACCTCTGCCTACCATCCCATGAGAACTGCTTTCCACATTTATAATTTTCTAATAATCTGTGGCATTTTGTTTGTGTAGCATTGGTAGCAATGTTTTGCCCTTTTGCTGTCATTGAAGTCATAATATTGTTATAGCTGCTGTTTTACTTTAATCTCTGAGACCCTGACATATTTTATTCCTACTTGTGTTTTCAGCAATGCTACATTTCAGTTGCCTGGATTTTTATCTTCTCACGTTTTTGATGAGGAGGAGGAAGAAGAAGATGTTCTTCGTAATTTGCAAAACGAAGCTGCTGAGGAATTAGCAATAGAGCATACACCTGCAACAGGTGATAATGCTGAAAGATATATGGTCACTCCTAGTGACAGGCGTCATTGTATCTTGGAGGATGTGGATGGCGAGCTTGAAATGGAAGATGTTTCTGGTCACCCAAAAGATGAAAGACCTTTGTTTGCAGATGATGTGAACCAGTCTGGCTCAGATCGAACCCTGGAATCAGCTTTAGATAATTTATCTGATTTGCCGCCTCTACCTATGGGATCCCCACCATTACCTCCTTGTTCTCCTCCACCCACCCCACCTTTGCCTTCCTCTCCCCCTCCATCACC